TGAATGGCCAACCTTTCGGTCAGCAGTCCTGCAAGGACGTTGCCCAGGGGATGCTTGGATGTTTTATCATCCTGTGGATGGTTTCTCTCATGTCCCTGCATGGGAAGCTGGAGCTGACAGGTGGGAGCTCACCCCACTCCCCGGATCTGAATCGCCGACCTTTCGGTCAGCAGTCCTGCCGGCACAAGGGTTCAACCCATTGCACCATTGGGAGGTCCTTGGATTTAAATGCAAGTTGTTGACAAAGGGTAACAAAAAGATAATACTAAAATACCTTAATATACCGAATGCATTGGAGTGGGCCTAATATTGGAAGTTAAGCAGGGTTGGGTCCTATTTAGTACTTGGACGGGAGACAATCAATGAATACAAGGTGCTTTGAGGCTCTGTTTCAGAGGAAGGAAAAGGCAAAAAAAAATGCAGGAGAACACTATAAAACCTATGAGGTCACCATAAGTCAACACACACACAATACTGAAAACCTCTCTGCCTGGATGACTTTTAGGAATGGAGATTCTGACGGCAAGCATGGGATGAGAGTGTGAGGTTGCATAAGGATAAACAAGCGAATTCCAACAATGGGGTGAAGAGCAGCTCTAATAAAATTAAGAGGCAGAATGGATCAAAGATGGCAATGGGGAGGAATGTGGGCAAGGGAGATGCTCGAAGGCAGAGATGAGAGAAAGGGATGGGAGCAGTGTGAAAGGGTCCGTCCACACTGCCCTTTATCCCAGGATCTGATCCCAGATTATCTGCTTCAAATTGGAATATAAGAGGCCCCTTCCACACAGCTGTATGCAATCAACACTGAACTGGATTATATGGCAGTGTGGACTCAGATAACCCAGTTCAAAGAAGTTATGGTGGATCATCTGACTTGATATTCTGGATTATATGACTGTGTGGAAGGGCCCTGAGTCCACACTGCCAGATAGGTAAAGGCAAAGGCTTCCCTTTGACATTAAGTCTAGTCGTGTCCGACTCTGTGAAGTGGTACTCATCTCCAGCCAAAGAGCCGGTGTTGTCCGTAGACGCCTCCAAGGTCATCTGGCCAGCATGACTGCAGGGCAAACCTTTACCTTCTCACAGAACCTATTGATCTATTCACATTTGCATGTTTTCGAACTGCTAGATTGGCAGTTGCTGGGGCTGACACTGGGAGCTCCCCCTGTTATAGAATCATAGAATCAAAGAGTTGGAAGAGACCTCATGGGCCATCCAGTCTAACCCCCTGCCAAGAAGCAGGAATATTGCATTCAAATCACCCCTGACAGATGGCCATCCAGCCTCTGTTTAAAAGCTTCCAAAGAAGGAGCCTCCACCACACTCCGGGGCAGAGAGTTCCACTGCTGAACGGCTCTCACAGTCAGGAAGTTCTTCCTCGTGTTCAGATGGAATCTCCTTTCTTGTAGTTTGAAGCCATTGTTCCATTGCGTCCCAGTCTCCAGGGAAGCAGAAAACAAGCTTGCTCCCTCCTCCCTGTGGCTTCCTCTCACATATTTATACATGGCTATCATATCTCCTCTCAGCCTTCTCTTCTTCAGGCTAAACATGCCCAGCTCCTTAAGCCGCTCCTCATAGGGCTTGTTCTCCAAACCCTTGATCATTTTAGTCGCCCTCCTCTAGACACATTCCAGCTTGTCCAACCGCATTGAGTCGCCTAATAAGGTTGAGAAACGTGGTATAGAGATGAAGCAAATAAAATAAATAAATAAATTGTCAATATCACTATTGAATTGTGTCCCCCAATTCGAACTGCCATCCCTTCAGTCAGCAAGTTCAGCAGCTCAGCAGTTTAACCTGCTGCACCACTGGAGGCTCCCTAACAGATAATCCAGGATCAGATCCTGGGACATAAGTGTAGTGCAGAAGGGCCCTGGATCCAAACAAGGAGGTTCCCTGATGCATTTGCACACACTGAAAAGTACACCGAAATGTACACTGTAAAATACATTTATCTTACATGGAACCCTGACTTCATAAAAAGGTCCTGCAGCATCTCAAAAGAAGCCAAAAAGGGCACCGAATGCTATATTCGCCCTTTTAATGTTTCAGGGAATGTTATGCCTTGATGGGGTTGAAATCATTCCCTGTCAGATCCTGAAAGCTAAGCAGTGTCCTCTCCTGATTAGTACGTGGATGGAAGGTTGTCAAGGAATGCCAGGTCGCCTGCCTAAGAAAAGTATGGGGTCACCACTAAGTTGACATGACTTGAAGAATGTACACAAACACAAGGCCTTCCTTGAGGCCAACCCAAGAGAGGTGCCTTTGCTGGAGACCAAAAAGGCCTTCCTGGAGGACAACCTAGTGGTGGTACTTTTGTGGAAACCAAAAAGGCCTTCCTGGATGCTAACCCAATGGTGGTGCCTTTGCTGGAGACCAAGAAAGCCTTTCTGGAGGCCAAGCCTATGAAGGTGCCTTTGCCGGAGACCAAAACGGCCTTCCTGGAGGACAAACCAATGGAAGTGCCTTTGCTGGAGACCAAAAAGGCCTTCCTGGAGGACAACCCAATGGTGGTACCTTTCAGGAAACCAAAAAGGCCTTCCTGGATGACAACCAAATGGTGCTGCCCTTGCTGGAGACCAAGAAAGACTTTCTGGAGCCCAACCCAATGGAAGTGCCTTTGTCGGAGACCAAAAGGCCTTCCTGGAGGCCAACCCAATGGTGGTACCTTTCTGGAAACCAAAAAGGCCTTCCTAGATGCTAACCCAATGGTGGTGCCTTTGCCGGAGACCAAGAAAGCTCTTTTGGAGGCCAACCCAATGGAGGTGCCTTTGCTGAAGATCAAAAAGCAGTTCCTGGAGGACAACCCAATGGTGCTGCCTTTGGTAGAGGTCAAAAAGACCTTCCTCGATGACAATCCAATGGATATGCCTTTGCTGGAGACCAAAAAGGCCTCCCTGAAAGCTAAGCAGTGCCCTGTCCTGATTAGTCTGTGGATGGAAGGCTGTCAAGGAACTCCATGTCATCTAGCCTAAGAAACATATGGGGTTGCCGCTAAGTTGACATGACTCGAGGCATGTACACAAACACAAGGCCTTCCTGGAGGCCAACCCAATGGAGTTGCCTTTGCCAGAGGCCAAAAAGATCTTCCTGGTGGACAACCCAATGGTGGTGCCTTTGTTGGAGACCAAAGGCCTTCCTGGAAGCTAAGCAGTGTCCTGTCCTGATTCGTCCGTGGGGGAAAGGGTGTCAAGGAATGCCAGGTCTTCTAGCCCAAGAAACGTATGGGGTCACTGCTAAGTTGACATGATTCGATGTACACAAACACAGTGCCTTCCTGGATGTCAACCCAATGGTGATGCCTTGGCTGGAGACCTAAAAGGCCTTCCTGAAGGCCAACACTATGGTGGTACTTTTGCTGGAGATAATCCAATGGTAATGCCTTTGCTGGAGACCTTCCTGGAGACCAAAACAAAGGCTACAACACCATGGAGATGCCTCTTTGGGCCCTTCCAGACAGGCCTTCCTGGATGGCAACCCAATGATGGAACCTTTGCTGGAAGCCAAAAAGACCTTTCTGGAGGCCACCCCTATGGTGGTACCTTTGCTGGAGACAATCCAATGGAGTTGCCTTTGCCGGAGACCAAAAAGACCTTCCTGGAGGACAACCCAATGGTGGTGCCTTTGCTGGAAACCAAAAACGCCTTCCTGGAGGCCAACCCTATGGTGGTACATTTGCTGGAGACAATCCAATGGAGTTGCCTTTGCTGGATGACAAAAAACCTTTGCTGGAGACAACCCAATGAAGGTTCCTTTGCAGGAGACCAAAAGGGCCTTCCTGGAGGCCAACCCTATGGTGGTACCTTTGCTGGAGACAATCCAATGGAGTTGCCTTTGCCGGAGGCCAAAAAGGCCTTCCTGGAGGACAACCTAGTGGTGGTGCCTTTGCTGCAGACGAAAAAGGCCTTCCTGGAGGCCAACCCTATGGTGGTACCTCTGCTTGAGACAATCCAATGGTGGTGCCTTTGCTGGAGACCAAAAAGGCCTTCCTGAAGGCCAACCCAATGGTGGTACCTCTGCTTGAGACAATCCAATGGTGGTGCCTTTGCCGGAGACCAAAAAGGCCTTCCTGGAGGACAACCTAATGGTGGTACCTTTGCTGGAAACCAAAAAGGCCTTCCTGAAGGCCAACCCTATGGTGGTACCTCTGCTTGAAACAATCCAATGGTGGTGCCTTTGCTGGAGACCAAAAAGGCCTTCCTGGAGGACAACCTAATGGTGGTGCCTTTGCTGGAGACCAAAAAGGCCTTCCTGGAGGACAACCTAATGGTGGTGCCTTTGCTGGAGACCAAAAAGACCTACCTGGAGGACAACCCAATGGTAGAACCTTTGCTGGAAACGAAAAAGGCCTTCCTGGAGGCCAACCCTATGGTGATACATTTGCTGGAGACAATCCAATGGTGGTATCTTTGCTGGAGACCAAAAAGGCCTTCCTGGAGGCCACCCCTATGGTGATATCTTTGCTGGAGACAACCCAATGGAGGTTCCTTTGCTGGAACCAAAAAGTCCTTCTGGAATGACAACCCAATGGCGGTGCCTTTGCTGGAGACCTTTCTGGAGACCAAAACAAAGGCTGCAACACCTTGGAGATGCCTCTTTGGGCCCTTCCAGACAGAATATCGAGGCAGAAAATCCCACAAGATCTGCTTTGAACTGAGTTATCTCATCCCCCAAGTGCCCTATATCGCAGCTCAAAGCGGAACATATGGGGTTTGATTCCTCTGTGTGGAAGGGGCCTGAGATAGGGATGAATGGGAAGCATGGAATGGGTGGAATTTCTGGAGGCCAAAGCCAAGGCTGGAGGATCTTCTCTACCTGTCTTGCAAGCAAAGGCCAACTTGGGCCCTCCAGGGTGTTTTGGACTTCAACTCCCACCATTCCTAACAGCCTACCGGCTGTTAGGAATGGTGGGAGTTGAAGTCCCAAACCCCTGGAGGGCCCAAGTTGGCCTTTGCTTGCTCTAGAATGGGGGTGGCTCTGCAAGGGGCTCTTCTTACCTGCTGGTACTCGGCGTCTTCGGGTCGGAACTCGTCCCCAGTGGGCTCCCATCGGAGGTCGAAGTGGGGCAGGCGGTGGAGGAGGGAGACCCACCAAGGCGGGGAGTAGCTCAGGCCCCCGGCCGCCGAGGCCCCCGCCATCCTCAGCCAGAGACGGAGGAAGGAAGGAGGAAGGAAGCAAAGGCGGGCGCTCAAGACAGCAACGTTGAACCTCCGCCACCCGAAGAGAAGGAGGAAGAAGAGGAGGAGGAGGAGGAGGGAAGGGTGCTGCTCCGGCTCCTCTCCCGCGGAGGCCCCCCAAGGCCCCGGCCCTGCATGGCTCCCTCCCGCTTCCGCCGCTTCGGCCCCGGCTCCCTCTCCCTCTCCCTCTCTCTCTCTCTCTTTCTCTCTTTCTCTCCCTCCCTCCTTCCTTCCCTCCTTCCCTCCTTCCTCCCTTGCCTGCCTTTGTTCGCCGTGAGCCTCCGCCTCGGACGCTGGCGCCGCCCCCGCGCTCCCTGTTGGCGCCGCCCGAATGAGAGAGAGAGAAAAGGAGGAGAGGGAGGAGAAGAGGAAGAGAAGGGAGGAGATGGAAGGAGGATGGAAGGAAGGAGAGGGAAGGAGGGGAGGGAAGGAAGGGGAGGAAGATGAGAGGGAGGGAAGAAAGATGGAAGGAAGGAAGGAGGAGGGGAAAAAGGGAGAAGAAAGGAAAGGAAAGAAGGGAGGAATGATGGAAGGAAAGAGGGGAAGGAAGGAGAGAGGAAGAGGAAGAAGAGGAGAGAGGAAGGAAGAAGAAAAGGAGGGAAGGAAGGAAGGAAGGAAAGAGGAGGAAAGAGAGAAGAAAAGGAAGAGAAGGAGGAGGGAAGGAAGGAAGGGTAGAAGGAGAGAGGAGAGAGGGAGGGAAGAAGAAAAGAGGAGAAGAAAGAAAGAGGAAGGAGGAAGAAGGAAGGAAGGGAGGATGGAAGGAAGGAAGGAAAGGAAAAGGAAGGAAGGGAAGAGGGAGGGAGGAAAAGGAATGGAAGGAAGGGAGGAAAGAGAAAGGAAGGGGGAAAGGAGGAGAGGGAGGGAGGATGAAGAAAGGAAGGAAAGGAGAAGGAAAGGAGAAGAGAAGAAGGAAGGAGAGGAAGAGGGAGGAAAAAAGGGAAGGAAGGGGGAAGAAGGAAGGAAGAAAAGAAGGGAAGGAGGAAGGATGAGAGGGAGGGAGGAAAAGAAAGAGAAGGAAGAAAGAAGGAAGAGAGAAGAAGAAGGGAAGAAAGGAGGATGGAAGGAGGGAGAGAGGAGGAAGAAGAAAAGAATGATGAAAGGAAGGAAAGGGCAAAGGAAGGAAGGATGGAAGGACAGGAGAAGGAAGGAAGGGGAGGAAGGATGAAAGGGAGGGAGAATGAAGAAGAGATGGATGGAAGGAAAAAGGAGGAAAGAGGATGAAGAAAGGAAGAGAAGGATAGATGGGAGGGAGGATGGGAGAAAGAAGAAAAGAATGATGGAATGAAGGAAAGGATGAAGGAAGGAATGGGAGGGAGGATGAAGAAAAGATGGAAGGGAGGAAGGATGGAAGGAAGGATGGGAGGGAGGGAGGGAGGAAGAAAAAAGAAGGCTGGATGGAAGGAAGGAAGGAAGGAAGGAAGGGGAGGGAGGATGGGAGGGAGGACAAAGAAAAGATGGAAGGAAGGAAGGAAAAAAAGGAGGAAAGAGAGGAAGAAGAAAGGAAGAGAAGGGAGAGAGGAAAGGAGAAGGATGGAAGGAAGGAAAGGACAAAGGATGGAAGGAAAGGAGGAAGGAAAGAGAGGAATAAAAAGGATGGAAAGGCAGAGGGGAAAAGAGGAATAAAGGAGGAAGGAAGGGAGATGGAAAGATGGAAGGGAGGGAGGAAATGAAGGAAGAAAAAATGAAAGAGGGATGGAAAGAAGGAAGGGAGGGGAGAATGGAAGGAAGGAAAGGAGAAAGAAGGGGAGCAATGGAGGATGTGAGGGAGGAAAAGGTTTATTAAACTGCAAAAACTTTGTTTTGATGGGACATCCCACAGCACATTTTGTGATCGTTTTTCAATGAGTATCTCATCGAGTCTCAACCAATTCAACATTGTTTGTGGCAGCCACAAATACAAAGTTTCTGGATTATAACAACTACTGTCAAAGTAAGTATCACACAATTAAACAGGAAATAACACTTTCAAACCAGGAACAGATTTTCTTTTTCGGATTTTGTTACATAGTGTTATTATTATTGTTTTGACACATATGCTTCACATTGTGTCAATGAGGTATAAGTTACTTAGGTGGCAGTTACTGCTTGTATGTTGTATCAACTTATGAAAAACTCCAAGACACACTGTTATTGACAGCCCTGCTAAAGTCATTGTTACTGAGAACCATGGCTTCCTTCATTGCATCTATTCACGTATTATCGTAATATCACATCTATTTCGTATTATCCTATGAAAGCGGACTGGCACATCCTGGGAATCACAACCAGACACAGTGAAGGCATCTGCCCTTGCGCTTTGCTACTCTGATGCTGAATATGCATGGCCAGTGTGGAATACATCTCACCACACTTAAACAGTGGATGTAGCTCTTAATGAGTCATGCCACTTTATCACAGGATGTCTATGCCCCACACCAACAACAAACATGCTGCCCCAGTTATTAACCTGGCAGCCTCTCGTTGGACTATTTGAAGCTTCCGAGCAGGCTTCAAAGGCAACCCCACGTAGAGTGCATTGCAGTAGTCTTCATGACCTCATGGACCAGCGCACGCCAGAGCTCCCTGTCGGCCGTCACCACCCCCAGCTCCTTCAAGGTCAGTCCAGTCACTTCAAGGATCCCATCCATCCATCTTGCTCTTGGTCAGCCCTTCTTCCCTTTTCCTTCCATTTCCCCAGCATAATTGTCTTCTCTAAGCTTTGCTTTCTTCTCATGATGTGGCCATACAGGAAGCATACAACTCCCATGTTACACCAGCTCCACTGGCTGCCTGTTTGCTACCGGGCACAATTCAAAGTGCTGGCTTTGGCCTATAAAGTTCTAAACGGTCCTGGCCCAATTTACCTGTCCGAACGCATCTCCCCCTATGAACCTTTGCAGAGATTAAGATCCTCCGGGGAGGCCCTGTTCTCCATCCCGCTATCGACACAGGCGCGATTGGTGGGGACGAGAGATAGGGCCTCCTTAGTGATTGCCCCCCAGCTATGGAACTCCCTTCCTGGTGAGAACAGAAGGATGTTAAATTTTATTTATTTATTTATTTACAGCTTTTATATTCCGTCCTTCTCACCCCGCAGGGGACTTGGGGCGGATTACAGTGTACACAAATATGGCAAACATTCAATGCCGATTTTTGACATACAAGCATATACAGACATACACAGAGGCTATTTAACTTTTTCTGGCCGCCAGGGGAGCTGTCGCTTTCATCGTCCATCTGCGACACTGATGAAAGCACTTCCGCATTCCCCGCATGCTTCCCCGCTGGAATGCTTTGCTGGAGTCTTCTTTATGGCCTCATAAATCAGTTAATTTAGCCTCCCCACACTTTAAGGTGGTACCTAATTTTCCTACTTGACAGATGCAACTGTCTTTCAGGTTGCAAAGGTCGACAACAGGCTACACACAATTGGTTGGAAACCCACTCCAACCCGGGCTGGCTTCGAACTCATGACCTTTTGGTCAGAGTGATCTTCATGCAGCTGACACTCAGCCAGCTGTGCCACAATCCCAGTGAGACCAAGCTTTCGGGGCAGGGCAATAAAGCAGCAATAGGAAAGATGACCAGGCCAGTTCGATTAGATGCAGATGACCAGGATGGTTTTAAATGGTGTATTTTAATATTGAGATAAATGTTTTTAATGTTTTATGCATGCGTATATGAATTCTTGTCCCAACATTGAATGTTTGCCGTATATATGCTGTGCTCCGCCCTGAGTCCCATTTGGGGTGAGAAGGGCGAAATATAAATGCTTTAAATAAATAAATAAAAATATTCTCAATTCACTTCTGACACTCTAAATAAAAATCAATTCACCTGCAAAGCTCAGGTTAGATGTCTGAATAATCACACGCCAAACATGTCCCATCTTTTGCCCCAAAATATTTGCAATATGGACCCTTGCTGCTGGATGTCTTCAGTGACTGCAGCAATCTTCAGCTCAACCTTTGGGCAAAATAATATGATTTTGGAAAGCCTTAAAAATGGCTATTCAATTCTGTGCTGTCGCATGCTGGGCCTGTACAAAAGACTGCAGACAGGACACAAATTCTGTGTGCCCAACGGGACGCCGGTGCTGCCTCAGATTAAAGGCCTTTGGATTTCCTTAAACAGAGTCTTTAGATTGCTTAAAGGTTCAACAGAGTTCTTTATTAATGAAAACAAACAGGTACGTTAAGGCTTTCTTAACAGTCTATTGGCTCTCTCTTAATCTTGTCCACAGGGAACAGGCACTATCTTCATGACTGTAACTAATGGGGAAATCCTTAACTTCTAATCTGGGCAGTCTGTCTTTGCCTCTTTTGGCATGGAGCCCCTGCACCCGGTACCAACTGCTTCTGGCTTCCTCGAGTGACCCTTACCAAGCAGAGCTTTGTAGACTTCCAGGGAAAAAGGAGTTCAGGTTTCAGTGATGGCTGACTGAAGTCCCTCAGCAAAGGAGCTGTAAGGCTGTATGATCCTCGGCCAAGCTGTAGGGCTGTATAACCCTGGCCAAGCTGTAGAAGACGAAGCTTTCTACAGGAGCTCTTGGTATTATGTCCTGCATGGAAAGCTTCTTTGTGTGGACTGAACCCAAACTGGCTCCTATTCCCTCCAAAACCCCAAAAAGGGGGGCAGGACCAGGGAACCTAACTATAATTGACAGGTGGCTTGCCCTATGATTGCAGCCAAAAGAAGCCACCTATTTCCAGAGCCCCTGAAACTCAGGACTACAACAAACATTCAATGCAAAGCAAACAAAATTGGAGCTCCTGGTACAGCTGTACCTGCACAAATTCAGTTGTGTGTTGCTCTTCTGTCTTTCCAAAGTAAACAGTGATAATTTCCCAACTTTCCCAGGTCGAAGAGGAGGCAGCTTTCCTTTCAAAGGGTGCAGTAACTAATAATCACTTACATCAGCATGGATAATTAACTAAAAGGGTTTTAATTGGTTAACAGCCCAACATATTAGGGCCCATCGTAAATCAGAGGCCCTTGAGCTTGATACCAGCCATTCCGCCCATTCCTGCAATCCCCAAATTGCTAGCAATCTGTTGACCATAGGATTAGGCATTTCAGAGGGTATGCTAAACCTCTCCTAAATGTATGGGATTTACTCCTGCAAGACATGTCGAAAGTAAATAACTTCATTGATTTCAAAGTAGGAACTCTCTTCCTAAAAAGGAGGCATTCCA